AAATTATAAATGTGTGTGTGTGTTATTTTAAATTAAATATAATTTCAAGGGTTACCTTCTAAAATTAAAAATCTTAATTACGAGTTTAGAAATTGTGGACAAAAAAATTAATTAATTTTTAAAATCATTCAGGAATTTTTTTTTTTTTGGTTGAGTATATGGTTTTATCTATCTTTTTTTGTTTTTCTTCTTTTATTTCTATTTAATTATCTATCCATCTATTTATCTCTTTCTTTTATTTCGTTTAACTATCCTCTTATATTCCGCCGTAATTTTTTGTTTCTTAATTTCTTCAAACATTTTGCAATATTCGCTATTTTTATATCAATAATTTCTTCCTTGTCAGACATTTATTTAATTATATGATTTTAATAAAAAAAAAAAATTCGTCTTCCTATCGTAAATATCTATTAAACGTGATTTATATTACTTTAGACTCGACCTATTAATCATCATCACGATTGGTTCAACAAAAAGCTATGATGTTCTTTTGAGAAGACAGCAGTATTCTTGGTAAAATACTACTGCATAGTAATTTAAGGTTCACAGAATTTCGTTACGCAAGTAAAATTCTAACAATAAGCGTTTGGTTAGTTTCACGTTTAGAGATGTAACTCGAATAAAATAAGTGACTATTAAAATATATATTTAGATCATTTTAATTATTCGTCCGTATTATTATAACGGTTTTTAAATTTTTCTCTTCGTATTTCTTTTTATTAATAATAATTCTTTTTATTAATAATAATAATAATAATAATAATAATAATAATAATAATAATAATAATAATAATAATAATAATAATAATAATAAACATAATGTTTCTTTTTTCTTTTTTATGAATAATCGAACACGTCTGCGTACATTTTATTTTCTAATTTTTTAAATTTAATTTATAAAATCTCTCATTCGACAATTTAAAATAAAATATTACACACACACACACACACACACAAGAAAAAAAATAAAAAATATCCAACGAATAAAATGATGATGATGATGATGATTATTATAAAAATTAAAGTAAAAATCATTAATTAAAGATGTAATACTAACATAAAGACCTAGATTCAAGATTCTAAAGCTCATTAGTTGTAATGGATTTCTGCTAATCTTTCATATTTCAAAAGATGAGATTATTTATCCTAACGACAAATCTAATCGATGAATCTTTCGATTTAAAGTAAGATCAACCTGTCACACTATATACATTTTTATTTCTTTAAACCAATAACCGTTTCTCTTGAGAACCGTTATCGGCTGGTTCTAACGAACCATTGAGATATCGAGTTACATATACACATACACCTATGAAAGCTACCACCATCTTGGAACCTTCCCTCAGTATTATTATATCTATTTAACTTCGTTCCACCATACTGAGTTATGGTTTTAATAATACAAACGTTCATACCTCATAGCCTACAGCTTATTATTATTTTTATTTATCGTTTGATTTTATTTATCTTTTATTAATATATATTTGTGTGTGTATGTGTGTGAGTATCTTTTTCATTGGTCGTTTAAAGTTAAGTCCGTTTTGCTCCACTTCCTCCATTCTTCGGCCTACATCGTGACTTCGAATAGAATTAATTGTTTGTTATTCGCTTGAGCAACATTTGATTTGTACTAACACGGATGTTACCGATGGCTATCGAAAATTTGTTTTATTGCTATAGGTATATACTTGAATACATTTTCCGGTTGGTAATTATTGTCGATTTGTTCTTCGGTGAAACGATTTTCTTGATGAGGTCGTTTTGATAGTCAGGTAGGTTGATAGGAATATTGATCAATTGATTTCAATTAATTTACTCTAGAAATCTAATTAATTACGTGTTTAATTTAAAAATGAGTAAGAGAGAAAAAATAAATGAAATAACTAATATCGATAAGTTATTATATTAAAATTTTCATTTTTCTTTTTTCAATTTATTTTTTCCCCCTACGGTTCTGGGGTAAAGAATTAGACCGTAGTAATCCCTGCTTGTCGTAAAGGCGACTAAAAGGAAAATCTTAATGAAGGATAACACCCTCTTTATTATTTATTTAATATTATTATTATTAATTATTCTAATAAAATAAAAAATATAATAAATAATAATCTTAAACAAAGATAATTTCTAATCTTTTCCTATAAAAAAGAAAGAAAAAGTTCACCACGATAATTAAAAAATTCTCAAGAATAAAATATTAGTATAAAAGATATTTATAAAAAAAAAAAAAAAAACAAGGAAATATGATCCTTTAGTTATTATGTAAATTTCATATACACAACATACATACATAAATATGAATATATAAAATAGTCTTTATTATTATTATTATGGTCGCCTTATATACTAGTGTCGATGACTTATTGTCTGCTTCATTACTATTAACATCTCATGGAACGTTGACACGTTTTCTTGATCAGTCACGATCGTTCTACAGACAAACACATTTCTAATTCAAGGTATGTCGTGTTTTAAAGAGAGAAAGAAACAGAGACAGAGAGAGAAAAGAATCACTTGGTCTATACACGCATAATAATAAGTTTACACGTTTAAGAGATAACAGTACCCAGTGTATTCCATCCATTATCATCTTAATCATCATCATCATTATCATCATCATAGTCATCTTATGAGACACTCGTAACCTATATGAACAAGATGTTATTTTGCAAATTTCATTTTTAATATTATTATTATTGTTGTTACTAGTATTTCATTTGATTAACCGTTAAGTGCATTAAATTTACATAAATTGTGATTTAATATTAATTAATTTAATATGGGGTTTTTTTATGTCTTTATATTATATATATGAGTGTGTATAAGGTGTATCATAAGTTTATAGATAATATTACTAATCAATTACTTTTAATTACAATGTTTTAGGCTAATTTCTTTAATTTTCTTTTTAATATGTTAATAAATATTTTTATAAGAAATTCGGAATAGTAATCACTCTCATAATTATAGATGTAATATCAAGTTATTAGTGTCTTCTTTATCTTATTTTTAATTATTATAAACATTGTGAAAAATTTGATGTTTTATGATTAGATTTTTGTCCCGTGTTCTCTGCTCGATTAGACAAAAATGATCATAAATTATAAAGCTACATAATTAAGCATAATTATGTTATTAAGTAAATATAGAAACACATGTGTACATATGGTTTTTAGGACACACGTGTACGAATTGTAATTTATAAAATGAAATTTGTCAGGGCTCGTAAATGAAAGTGGAGCAGTAGTTACGTTGAGTTCTTCAAGGACGATGGGAAGATATTTAATCTTCGTGTCCTCTCACATGAGACACTACTAGATTTCTAGAACGAATACTTCATAATGATATAAGAATGATGTCGAGTATTTAATTTCATCGATTTATCACAATTTATGACTACTATCTATCAAACGTAAACGTATAATATTAAATAATTTCATTTGATATTTCAAATAGTAAATTAAAATATTTTTTCCCAGGATTTTTGGATTTTATAATGACGATATCGATGACGTGCAAAAAAGGAAAACAGCTGTGATTCAAAGATTATATTTTAACTCGGTCTATTAATTAAAGCGAATTGTTCGTTTATATAGCAAATTTAAGAACGATCATTGAATTAATTTCTGTGTCTCATTTTCATCATCTCATCATTTTCCACTGATGTAATATTTCCATAGAGTATTTAGCTTTTTATATCGTTGTTTTTAATTTCTATTAAGATAATTTTTTATTTCGTACAATATCATATGCAATCCCTGATAAGAATAATTAAGAATAAAACTTTTTGATTAATCTCCTTAATTATTTTTTAATTATAACTATTAGGTACTAAAAACAAAATAACACTTAAAACATTCGAGATGATCTAATCGAGATGATCTATCTACATAATTACAAGGTATACATTCTATTTAACGATACGTGTACGAATTATATTCGACAATTGCATAATCTAATCTTACCCGGAATAATTAACAAAAAATTTTCGAAATAATCAAGTAGGAAAAAAAAGAAAGAAAGAGAAGTAAAAGTATCGCGGAAGTAAAATCGATAAGGCGAGAATATCATTACTACGATATAATGATAGAGAAGGAAAGATTCCTTGCACAACCTGTGCAACAGAAACAGAAACAGAAACAGAAACAGAAACAGCAGCAGCAGCAGCAGCAGCAGTAGCAACATGATTGTGAATTACGACACACGACAATACTCTCTAGCGTGCCAATTTCACTCTCGTTGAATGAATAAGAAAGAGATAGATAGATAGATGGATAGATAGATGGTAAGATAAATGGAAAGATAGATCAAAATTGCGCCATTTCGTCGCGCCGGACGAGAGATTCGGACGGGCCTAGAAAGCGTCTACAAAATGCTAATTTTCGCTAGCTTATGTTAGCATTGCTTAGCTAGCTATCGTGTTCGGCCAACCAACGCCATAGAAAAAAAAAGAAATTTACGAAAGAAAAAAATGTACCATGGTTAACGTGTCTAGACGTAAAAGAAGGAAAAAAATTATGATGTCGTTATATTACGTTTCTTTTGATCTTTTAGTAAAAAAAATAAAAAAGAGAGAGAGAGAGAATATGTTTAGGTTAGAAATATAATTAAATAGTCAAAAAAAGGAAAGTCAAAAATATCAAGATTATCTCAAATCTTTTGCTGTCATAATTTTTATTTCATAATATGATATATAATTATAATTAATTGTATAACAATAATTTATAAATTTCTATTTCAATAAATTTGAATAAATTTAATATATAGATATACAATATATACACTAATTCAATTAAAATTTAATTTACCAATTATTGTTATTATTTAATGTTATAATAACTTAAATTTATCTATTTATTATATATTAAAGATCAAGGTAACCCTAATTAAATTTTAAAAATTCATTTATATATATATTGAAATAATTTGTTTATATATGTAAGAAAATGGATGAAGTAATAGAATGTGAATATTAAAATGAAGAATTATTTTAATTTGTTTAGACGTTCGACGGCACGAGGATGAAAGGTTACGAGGATCGCAAAAGGGCGCGGATTAGTGCTCCAAAGAAAGAAAGGTCTTCGACCGTTACTACCGGAAATGACCATGACGAGCGTGGCTGTCGCCCCGGGTAGCCTCGTAGCACCACCAGCTATGTTAACACCGAAGATGTATCATCTACAGCAACCTTTGAATCCACCAGCACCTTCCCCGACTTCTGGGAAAGTGAGTTAGAGAAAGATAAAGATAATATAATTAATTTTATTTATTCTACCTATAAATAATTAAAATACATAATGAAACAAAATATTTATTTCGCCCTAAGCAATGAAATTTAATTGGAAAGGGAAAGTTTTAATTACGAAATATTAATGAGTAGAAAATGAAATCTTCGATATTAGGATGATTTGATGTATTAAGATTTATCGAAAAACAAAAAAAATTGAATTAAAATTTAAGAAAATGTTATAACGTTAAAAATATTATTTAATATGAATTTATTACTAAATAATAAAATTTGGTCTATAAAAGTACTCATATACGAATAAATATATATATGAAAATTAATTGTAAAAATAAGAAATAAAACTGAACTAAGAAATAGAGAACCTTAAAAGACTAATTATCTATATCTAACGTGTCGTTTTAAAATACATGACTATAGTTTGTTCAGAAAGTAGAAAAAAAAATATGGTAGTTGAGAACGATTAAGGTCGCAGACTAATGTCCATTGAAATCGAGAAGAGTCCGAGCTTTGCATTAAATGCGAGACCTCGTGTCACATAAATACCCTGAAACTGAAACTCCTAGTGAAGGACAATACTTTTTCTTATTTTTATTTCAACTTTTTCTCTTTCTCATCAAGTGACATAAGGATTATGCGTAACGAAACACTAACAAATGTTTTCAAACTCTTACGTACTTTCATCTTTACCTCCATCTTCTTCTTTTTCTTCTTCTTCTTCTTCTTCTCATCATCGTCATCGTCATGTCTATTATGTCGTAGAGTTGTGTCGTAGTTGTCTTGTAGTTGTCGTCAATGTCGACAATGGCTTTGACTGGTTTAGCCGTAAAACCAGGGGCCGGTTATGACATCGAATACTGGAGTAGCATGACTATACTCACAACACACTACTGTTGCTTCGCATTTACGAGGTCGACTTTTAAGAGAACTTGCTGTTTTATCTTTTGCCAAGCTTACTCTTTAAATCCTCGTCACAATTCTGTTCGATCTTGATCTTGGATAATAAGTTTATTTTTATTATTTATTAAACTATATTGTGCATAGTTCTTATTTTTTTTCTTTTCATTTTTATATTCTATATGTGATGGTGTGCAATTTAATTACTGTGATACTTTACATTGGTAAAAATTTTGAAGATATCGTACCTAATAGTGATTTAATTTCATCGATCGTGTTCATCGTGTGTTCATCGTGTTTTCATCGTATGTTAACGTACGTAGAAATATCTAGATCTTCTTTGAAGTCTTTTAAATCAGAAATGGAAATGATACCCATTGCGAGATCTAATCCCAAGCGACTGTCTGATTTCATCAGACTCATAGAACAGATTTAGAACAGTTTGGTAAATAACATTTTTAATTTGTTTTTTTTTTTATTTCTTTTAAAGAAATTAACTTGGCTTTGACCAAATTTGTAATTTCTTATTTTTCTAATACCATTTTTGGGATTTAAATCTCGATATTTTTCTGATCTGTTTAAGAATGTAATGTAAAAACTGTATGTAAAAGGAAAATCTCATTTTAATAAGAAAAAGTAAGATAGAAATAACATTAGTTATTAACAATAACATTAACATTTAACTGTTAGAAATTTTGCAATTCATTAGATTCAATTGTTCACATATGTTCCCAAGTATGCATATACTTAATTTTTAATGTTAATAATATTGCTAATGAAAGTCAACATTTGTATTATTTGATCTTTCGAAAAGTTTTTAAATAAAGGAAAAGAGATGAAAAAATTGTTAGAAAAATACTTGAAGGTTCACTGATCGTATATTCACATACTATATATACATATGTACATATCTAATGTAGTCTATGTTAATAATATTACGTTTATCGCATCGTAACATGTACCTTCTTGTCTAAACTCTTGCTATTGGCTGTTTTACGGATACAACTTGTGGCCTATTACGTGAGAAGTTTTCTAACTAACAAGATTCAAAGAGTAAGCGACCAATGGTTATTTCAAATGGGTATATATATATTCATCCACGTGCCGTTCGAAGATTGTATGTAATAGGGAAACTTATGCGAAGTTATATTTTATTTTTCTAAAGAATTCTATTTTCGTTTCTGAATTCTATTTCGAAAGATTTAACATTCTGAAAAAGTCCTTCACGATATACAATCTTATGTATTTTAAATGAGTATTTTTTTATGTAGTACTTTTTTGTTCATTTTTTAATTATCATAAAAATTACTTTTAGTTTATATTGAAACATTATATAATTAAATGTAGTTATTTAGTGTGAGTATTATTGAAATTTTTTCAAAATTTCTTTCTAATTTAAATAATATTGTATTTTTAATTATGTTTTATTGAAAATTTGAGATAAACGTTGAGTTTTAATATATTAATTTTATACATCAGTTTCACCATAATACACTCAATAAATAATATACTAATATATAAAAAAAAGATTAAATATTAAAAATAGTTAACTTTTAATTTACAAAAAAGAAATCAATGTGGGAGAAAAAAGAATTAATAAAGAAAGCAAGATAAGTTATACCTCTCGGAAATATTCGAACTCCTCCACTTTTTATTGAATTATCGATCGTGAGTTTACAAAACTTTCTCTTTCTTGCTATCTGCAACTTTTTATGTGATTTTTATATTTTTGTATTTTTCTTTAAACACTCCTCCAAGAAAAACCGTCGCATTCCATACCTCCCACCCCTTTCCCTCTCTCTTTTTCTTTCCCTTTACCTCTCTCTCTCTCTCTCTCTCTTTTTTTCTTTCTTACTTTATTGCTTTCGATGCACTTTCATTTGCATCGAAATGAAAATTTAAAGTTGGTATGTATGAACGATTAGGAAGTATTACGAGTGCAGAATATTACGTGGCTTGATTGTAAACCACTCGTAACATCATCGATCAACAATCCTCGTTATAAGAATAATTATTTATGCGAAATGAAAGATGGAGTTAACGTAATCGAGCGAGAACAATTTCACGTTTACGAGATTATTATACGCCTGTTATAGGCTTAGGTATAGTCATCTTTTTTTCGAGCTTTCGGTTTATGAGAAACATTAGACTACTTTACCTATCGTTTAGATCATCTAAATTGTTTTTATATACGTTTCAAGCCAACAACGAGAATGTTATATTTATTTATTTATGCTAAACATTTTTTTTTGTAATATAATAATATTTGAACTTTTTATTTCTGTAGTTATTACTACAGAATTAATTAATTCTAAAAATTACTACATTTACAATTATCTACAAATACTATAATTACAATTAATACTACAAATAATTATATTTAATTATTTGACAAATTAATTATATAAAAATTATATAAATAAAATTATTTCTATATATAAAAAATAAATATTTAATAATTAATTATATAATTTATTTATTAGTAGTAGTCACGTATTATATTAAAAATAAAAATTAAATCTAAAAATAAATTCTTCTTTTAAATAAAATAAATCAATTTTTGAAAGATATAACAAAATAAAATAAAGTGAAAACAGGATCGAATGTTTCGAAGCATAACAGTTACGAGATAAGGATCGTTGAATGAATATAATTTTGTAATAAATTCAACGACATCGAACGAAAATAAACGAAAAGGAACGAAATGGTCGATCTCGTTGTGTAATTCCGAGGACGCAATCTTCGTGCTTATGGAAGAGACACGAGTGTGCATAGAAACGAGGATTATGATGGATGATGCATCGGCTGCAGCCGATGCACCGGTGCGACTGCCGTGACCTCTGGATGTGTACTTTACATAAATGTATTAATGTATGTGCATTAAACAGACACATATATATATGTGTGTATGAATAACGTCAGTTCTAGATAGAAGATCGTACGCGATGATGAACACGACCATAAGACATAACACGAATACTTATCGACTGTCAGTAATTTTACACAACAAAAACACATTTCCGTTTTTTCCTAACATGTATATTTCTATAGTTTTACTTATTTGTATTTTTTCTTTTTTTTTTTCTTTTCGATAAACATCGTTTTCTTCAGTTTTTTATTAGCCAATTTGAAAATTAATTGTTTAATTACTTATCTTATGGGCTTATAACATGGGAAATAATTTTGCAAGAAAGTATCAAAAGATCGGAAGTTGTTGTCGGAAATCTTATTTCATCAAATCCTGGCGTTTTCCATTTTCATTGCAATTGTTTCCTTTTTTTTCCTTTTTAATATGTTACATAATAATAAATAATAAATAAATCTTACTTAACACATTCGCGACCGGCATATTTTTTCCTTTTTTAATACTGAGTACCGGCAAAAATTATAAATTATTTAAATTTATATTTAAATAATAAAATAAAATAATATAATAAAAAATATAATTATTTAAATATTATAAAAATTTATTTATATTAAATTTTTAAAATTTTAAATGACGTGAATTTCACGTCAGCGGTAATTAGAAATAGAACTTGAAAAGACGTGAATTCACGTCAGCGGTCGTGAATGTTTCAATATACATAGATATATACGAAAAGGATTATGAAATGAACAAAAATTAACTATAGCATTTTAATAGTCAATTAACTCCTATAAATACTTTCTTTTTTCGAATAGTAAAAATATTTCCTACATTTGTAATTTTGCAATCTTCTAAAAAAAAAAGCTGATTCAGAATATTCGTAAAAAATATTTGATTTCTAAACACGACTTAGAAATTGTTGGTCCACCCTGTATATATATATATACATCTCTTGATTCTGCAAGCAGCATCAATTCCATACTAACGGACGGAATGAAAATGGTTTTAACCGCGGTTATATGACTGACATTATGCGTTATTGCGTTTCGCACAATTAGCGCGGCCGTGCCGAGATATTCGAGAGAGAGTAATATCTACTGAAGAACAAAAAGAAAAACTAAAAAGATCAAAAATTATAAAAACTAAAAATAAGAATAATAAGAAGAAGAAGAAAAAAAAAGAAAAGAAATGATTCGAACACGAAGACACTCATTCTTA